ATAACCCCTCAAGAGTCCTAAACACTTGTATACAGCCAACCTTTGTATATCAAATGATCTCATTGCTGTTAGAATACCAACAATATGAAGAAAGCATAAATAATCATCCAACAAATTTTTTATTGCAAATTCTATACTGAGACCAAATAAATCTGTTATGATGGTGATAGAAACTGGTGGCACCACTGCCCAAAGTTTTGGTCAATCTCTCAGAGACTGAGATTGACCAAAAGGGGAGAATTGCTAAGTTAAATTAAATTTGGGGGCCGGACGCAGCGGCTCATGGTTATAATCCCAGCACTTTGGGAGGCCAAGGTGAGAGGATTGCCTGAGGCCATGGGTTCGAGACCAGCCTGTGGGGAGACTTCATCTCTACAGTCAATTTTTTTAAAAAGTTAACTGCACACAAAAAAATTAGTGGTGGCGCATGCCTGTAGTTCCAGCTCCTTGGAAGGCTGCGGCAGAAGGACTGCCTAAGCCAGCAGGTCAAGGCTGTGGTGGCCAGGAGCATGCCGTTGCACTCCAGCCTGGGCAACAGAGTGAGGCTGCAACTAAAAAATAAATTAAATTTGGCTTAACGTTGCGTCCATCCCTAGTGAACTATGACCTGACTTAACCAAACTGCAACCTCACCTAAGAGTACATTCTTGTAACAAGTAGCTGAGTCTCAGCCAATCACAACAGCAGAGTGTACAGCCAATCACAAACTACCAGCTGATCAGACCATGTCTATATAAGGCAAATACTCATTACTCCATGCCCAAGTGAGGCACACAGAGAGCTGCAGCATATCAAACTGTTTCTCTACATCAGTCTGTTTTTCTGTCTATGAATACTGCCTCCCCGTTTTGCTGTGTGGAGCCCTCCAAACTTCTACTGTTCTGGGTGCTGCCTGATTCATGAATTGTGCTCAAATAATTTCTGCTAAATGTGTCCAGTTTGTCTTTTAACAGTGTGGCTCCTGAGGCTTGGCTGTCTCAACATTTTCGAGTGAAACACTACAGAGTTGTGTTGGGGGCAAGCGGGACTTGTTGGCTGTCGGACTTCGCTGTACAGTGAGCAAGTAGACATCTGGTCCTTTAGAGAAGATCTCTTCCAATCCTCTCACAACTGGAAGAATCTGGAGGTCTTTTCCCAGGCACCAATTTGGGGATGAGGACTGGGGCTTCCGTCCTTCAGGATCTAGAGTTTTACTAATTTCACAGAATAACCTGCTGGCCTTCTGTGGGGGTAGGAAAGTGACCTGGGTGTTTGACCTCTGCTTATACATCCTCCCAGAAGCCCCTGACCCTACTTCTGCCTCTGGAAGCCGGCTGATTCCTGAGCTTTTCCAGACTCCAAATAACCTTGGATTTTGGCTGTCTCTCCTCTACTGTGTCAGTGATCACTCTTCCACCTGTTTCCCACCTTCAAAAAGGTGTTGATATCTTGTCTGTTGTTGTCGTCTCCTCTTCTCTTTGTCCTTGTGGGCTTACGTCTTTTATTCCTTACCGTCACTTCGGTGGAAAGCCAGGAAGGACTGGGGACAAAGTCTCGTGTTCAATCCACTCTATAGGACCGGAAGTCCCTCCAACTGCACATTAAATAGGCCCCTTTCGGCCTAAATGCAGGACCTCCCTGCAACAGTGTGGGGCTTTCTCCCAGTCGATTGGAAACGACTATTTCTGATCTTCCTGTCTTCCTCCTGGTGCCACCACCCAGTGGATACAGGCCCTAGCCCCCACGTTCTGACCTTGGTCCTTGACACTGTCTTGTCATCATTGTTCACAGAATGTCCTGAGGAGTCCCAAATCTAGATCAATAGCTCAAATCCCCTCTTGAGCCTCAGCCCCTACTTCCTGCTGCCTCTCAGATGGCTTCCCCATCTGTCCTCAGCCACTTCATATTCAACACTTCTCAGACAAGCTCATCTACCCTCTGCCAGGACCAGCCCCTCCCCTGGCCTTGCCTGCCTCTGCCAAGGGCATCACCATTCTCCCGGCTACCCCAACACCCATGGGGACATAGGTCCTATTGATTCTTGGTGGCAGCATGGCAGCTGTACAGAGAGGTGTTTGAGTCCTGCCTTCACCTCTTTCAAGTTGTGTGACCTTGGCTTCTTTGTGTGGCCTTGGTTTCTTTAGGAGTAACTCTGGGATGATAAAATCCTCCTCCTGGCCCCTCCCACATGGCCCCTCAGCCAGGCCCTTACCACTTCATGAACAATCGCCATGGAGCTCTGGTCTGTTCCTTCCAGTGCCCTGGGGCCCAGATCCCTGACCTCACTCTCCTGCTCTGCTCCTTTCTTCCTGGTGCTGCCATTTCATCTCTTTTCTGGTTCTCCCTCCTGGTGTGAGTGGTCCCAGGGCTCGGTCCTTTCCTGTTCTCTGCCGCCTCCTCTATTTGCACTCACCCGTTGGGTTGGCAATCTCACTTAGTCTCATATGAGTGCACCACCTCTATGTCAATGACTTTCAAGCCTACCTATGTCTCCCTGAACCTCCAACTCTAGCTTCAACTGCCGACTTGACATCTCCATCCACACACCCCACAACAGTCTGCAAAGACCTGCCCAATGTCACTTCCCTCCCGGTCCAGCCTTCTCTCCTACGCTCACTCCAGTCACTTGCCTTCTTGCTGTTCCTGAACATACTTGCTGCTCCTGCCTCAGGGCCTTTGCATTTGCTGTTCTCTCTTCCTGGACCGCTCCTCCTTGAGATATCTCTAGGTCTTTTTTTTTTTTTTTGAGTCAGTGTGTCACTCTGTCACCCAGGTTGGAGTGTAGTGGTACATTCATGGCCAGCAGCCTCGATCTGCTGGGCTCAGACGATACTTCTGCCTCAGTCTTCCAAGTAGCTGGAACTACAGGTGCACATTATCATGGCAGTTAATTTTTTTTGATGTATTGTAGTGATGAGGTCTTGCCATGTTGCTCAGGCTGGTCTCGAACCCTGGGCTTGGGCAATCCTCTCGCCTCCGCCTCCCAAAGTGCTGGGATTACAGGCTTGAGCCCTTGGGCCTGGCTGGTCTTTCTTTCTTTTTTTTTCATTTTATTTTGAGTTGGAGTCGCACTCTGTCACCCAGACTGGAGTGCAGTGGCCGCTCCCGACCACCACAGCCTCAACCTGCTGGGCTCCGGCGACCCTTCTGCCTCAGCCTTCCAAGTAGCTGGTACTACAGGCACGTACTACCACGCCTAGCTAATTTTTTATTTTTTTTTTTTTGAGTTGGAGTCTCACTTTGTTACCCAGACTGGAGTGCAGTGGCCGCTCCGGCCACCGCAGCCTCGACCTGCTGGGCTCCGGCGATCCTTCTGCCTCAGCCTTCCAAGTAGCCGGAACTACAGGCACGCGCTACCATGCCCGGCTAATTTTTTGATTTATTGTAGAGATGAGGTCTCACCAAGTTGCCCAGGTGGGTCTTGAACCTGCAGGCTCATGCAATCCACTCACCTCAGCCTCCCAAAGTGCTCGGAATACAGGCTGAGCCACCGAGCCCGGCTAATTTTTTATTTTTATTGTAGAGATGAGGTCTTGCCAAGTTGCCCAGGCGGGTCTTGAACCCGTGGGCTCAGGCAATCCATTCACCTTGGCCTCCCCAAGCACTGGGATTACAGGCTGAGCCGCTGAGCCCGGTCGTCTTTCTTTTTTAATGAGGCTTAGCCTGACTGCCCTGTTTAATACTGGCACCTGCACCCCACTCCAGCACTCCCAATTCCTCCTACCCTTCGTTTTTTTTTTTCTTTTGAGTCGGAGTCTCACTCTGTTGCCCAGGCTAGAGTGCAGTGGCACACTCACGGCCACCACAACCTCCACCCGCTGGGCTCAGGTGATCCCTCCTCCTCAGCCTCCCAAGTAGCTGGAACTATAGGCACATGCCACCACACCAGGCTAATTTTTTTGGATTTATTGTGGAGACGAGGTCTCACCAAGCTGCCCAGGCTGGTCTCGAACCCCTGGGCTCAGAAAATCCTCTCGCCTCCACCTCCCAAAGTGTTGGGATTACAGGTATGAGGCACTGCGCCCAGCCCTCCTACTTTTCTTTCCTTTTTCTTTTCTTTGTAGCATCTTTTACTTTCCAACATGCTATATCATTTATGTTTATTGTATTTTTTCCCATCTTTTCTTTTATTTGCTAACATGTAAGGTCTCTGAAGGAATAACTTTGTTTTTTGAGTCGGAGTCTCACTGTCTCCCAGGTTGGAGTGCAATGACATGCTCACAGCCACTGCAGCCTCAACTTGCTGGGTTCAGGTGATCCTTTGCTTTAGCCTTCCAAGTAGGAAATAACTTTTTAAAATTTATTGATGTATGCAAAGTACCTAGAATGGTGCCTAGTACATAGTAGGTGCTAAGAAAAAAAATTGCTTAAGTAATTTAAATTAAATGCTTATTGAGGGTCAGAGCACTGTGGCTCATGCCTGTAAGCCCAGCACTTAGAGAGGCCGAGGCAAGAGGATTGCTTGAGGCCAGGGGTTTAAGATCAGTCTGGACAACAGAGAGAGACCCTCACTCCATTTCTACAAAAAATTTTAAAAATTAGCCAGGCATGGTGAAGCACGCCTGTAGTCCCAGCTATTTGAGAGGCTGAGGTTCTGGGAAGATCACCTAAGCCTAGGAGTTTGAGGCTGCGGTAAGCCATGATTGTGCTGCTACACTCTAGCCTGGGTGACAAGAGCAAGACCTTGACTCAAATAAATAAACAAACAAATAAATTGAATAAATGGATGCATGAAAGGATAACAGTATACTCTCCCTCTAAACCTACAGTGGCTCCCTACTGCTTAGAAGATGAAGTCCAAGCATCTTACTATGACATTCAAAGCCTCCAGCTGGCCTTGAACTATTTATCAATGTGAACTATGAGGTCTTGCCATGTTGCTCAGGCTGGTCTCGAACCCTGGGCTCGGGCAATCCTCTCGCCTCCGACTCCCAAAGTGCTGAGATTACAGGCTTGAGCCCTTGCGCCTGGCTGGTCTTTCTTTCTTTTTTTTTTTTTTTGAGTTGGAGTCTCACTGTCACCCAGACTGGAGTGCAGTGGCTATCAGTGGAGTGCAGACTGGAGTGCGATTAGCCTGTGTACTTGTATTCTCCCATCTTAAGGTGGTCTGCAGACCCTGCCTCCCTTTTCTCAGTCGCCTTCCCTCCTTACTCCCATCTGGGCCAAACTTCCACCCTCCAACACCCCTGCCCTGTCCACGCTGCCCACTCACTGCAACCTTGAACTCCTGGGCTCAAGATGTGAGACACTTCCTGAAATGTAGCTTTGTACCCCGGTCCCTGGTCCTGTGCCCACACACCTACAACAACTCCGGCAGAAGCCTCCCTGGCCTAGAGGCCCTCCACAGGCGTCTCTTCCTGCCTCCCTTCCCGTAGCTCCCCTCCTCCACAGCCAACTCACCGCACCCTGAATCTGCTCTGAGATGCCCGCTCCTGCACCTTTGTTCATCCTGGTCCCTCTTTTTTCCACGTGTACAATCCTAACCACTTGGGGTGGGAGGTTGCCTGGCTGAGGCCTGCCTTCTCCATCTGGAGCATTTGTCTTAAAGTCAGCCCCGCCTGAGAGATCTACTTCCGTGAGCATCATTCTTTCCCTGGACAATGCTCAGGTGAGGGCCTGCCATGAGTCAGGCGGTGAGCCAGGGGCTGGGGATATGGCCATGTGTTGAGTGGACCCATCCCTGTCTTGTGGAGCACACAGTTGGGAACACTGCTTGGGGGTATTTCACTTAAGCCCCGGGCGGGCAGAGGTTGTGCCATGTACATCTTATATTCTAGTGTTCTACTTTTTTCTCTCTCTCTCTCTCTTTTTTTTAGAGACTGGGTCTTGCTCTGTTGCCCAGGCTAAAGTACGGTGGTGCAATCATGGCTCTTGGCAACCTTGAATTCCTGGGCGGAAGTGATCCTCCTGCCTCAGCCTCCTGATTAGCTAGGACTACAGTTGTATGCCACCAGAACCGGCTAAATTGAATGCAATTTTTTTTTTTTGAGCTGGAGTGCAGTGGCACACTCACGGTCACTGCAGTCACCTGCTGGGCTCAGGTGATCCTTCTACCTCAGCCTTCCAAGCAGCTGGAACTACAGGCGCACGCTACCATGACTGGCTAATTTTATGATTTATTGTAAAGATGAGGTCTCGTCAAGTTGCCCAGGCTGGTCTTGAACCCATGGGCTCAGGCAATCCTCTCACCTCAGTCTCCCAAAGTGCTGGGATTATAGGCATGAGCCACTGTGCCTGGCCAATTTTTTTTTTTTTTTTTTTTTTAGAAACAGGGAGTCTGACTGTGTTGCTCAGGCTAGTCTCAAACTCCTGCCTCAAGCAGTCCTCTTGCCTCAGCCTCCCAAAGTGCTGGAATTACAGTCATGAGCCACTGCACTCAGCCTTCTAGGGTCCTATTCAGTATTCAGTAGTTGCTCAAACAATGTGAGCCAAGGATGCACATACTTTTGCTGAGCTCCCAACATGCCAGCCCAGAGTTGGGCACTGGGCCACAGGGCTGGGTACACCACTAGGCCTGGCTGGGTACCACAGGTGTTGCAATCAGATACCTGTCTCAAGGCTATCCCTGACTCAGATCTTCAGGTCTCTGGTCCCTGCCCCGCCTCAGCTCTTACAGGAAGCCTCTCTGGGCACCCCGGCCTCTGAGTTTTTCTTACTTTATCTTGGCAGTCAGTTAAGTAGAAGTAATAAAGGGCTTGGGTGTTTCTCTGGCATTTCACTACCACACTTACAAAGTCATTATCTGGTTGTTGCCTCAGGACAGTTTCCAAAGGTAAACAGGAGGGGCACTGAGAGGCCCAGCTTGCCAAAGAGAAAGAAGACTGCACCTACTCTGGCAACAGGTTCAAGGACACCCGGCAGCATGGTGCTGGGACAGGCACCCAGGCTTTGCAATGTCATGCAGGGGTTCCTCACCACCCATGCTGCCCGGCCCTGCCCATGTGAGCACATCCTTCCTCCTTCAGCAGTGTGAGCACTCTTCCTGTTCTTCTCCAACCCCGCCCCATGTTCTCCAACTCCCAGCACAGGGCCAGGTGCACAGGAATGGCTCCAAGTTGCACTGACTGACAAGGGAGTGTGCAGTAGAGGACAGGGGTTAGGGTGTGGGGCATGACAGGACTTGTAGTAGGGGCGCACAAGCTGATGGTATGGCTCTGTAAGGCAGGCAGAAGCGGTCACAAGGAGAACACAGCCCCACTGCAGAGGACACGGCGTGGCTCTGTCACTTTTGAGCCACGCAACTGTGAGCAAGCTCCCTCATCTCCCCCCCAAACCTCAGTCTCTGAGAGTGAGTGATGGCAGCCCTGACAGCAACCCAGTCACCCCCCCCACGGGTGAGCACCTTGATTTCAACAGGGCCACACCTAGGGAGGGGTCACGGAGCATCCAGTTGTTGGCCCCTGCTTTGATCTCACAGACACCTATGCTGTGGCGGCAACCAGGAGATGCTAGGACTGTGAGACTGGGGGGCCGTTTGGCCCTTGGGGTGCCCAGCCAGGATCCTTTTCTCCAGATGAGCTTGTCCCAACTGGGCAGAGCGCTCGCCAGGAGACAGCAGGCACCCACCCATGCCTGTGTCCCTAGATCGCTTGTCCCAGAGCCTTTTCTGGAATGTCTATGGGACGCGTCATACACGTGTCCAGAACGGAACTCTGGGCCATCCGTCCTCTGCAGCCTGCCCCCTCAGGTGGAAACTCCCCCCTCCCTTCCTCCTCTCCCTTAGAGAGGATCCTTAGAGTCGCCCATAGTTCTCACTCTCACATGCCACATCCAACTCCCAGAAAGCCCTGCCCACCTCACCTTCACATCATGAGGCCGAACATGACCGTGCTACAGCCAACGGCTCTCTATAATGATGCAATTCACCTGGTCCACCCTGCTAGATCCAGAACGACCGCGTCTCCCCACCTTCCCTCTCAGCCTGGGTTGTTCCCACCGTCCTTTCGCTGGCCTTCCAGATCCGCCCCTGCCACAAACGCCACCGTCTTTCCCGGCACAGTTGCTAGAGAGAGGTCTTCATGAAACCTAAGTGGAGCCACACCACCCTGTCGTTCTTCTGGTTCAAGGCCACTGCCGGCTTGCATTTCACTCAAAGCAGCAGCTGAAGTCCCCCCACGGCCCCAAAGACTCTCTTTTTTTTTTTTTTTTTTTTT